TTGGACAGGACACTTGGCTGGCATTTCTCTTTTGGTGAGTCACTATGGTGGGAAAGAGCAGGGAAACAAAAGGCAGCTTGGGAGTGGGACTGGGGGAGATGGTGCCGTCTGGCAGACTTTGTTCTCGGCCACTGTCTTTAGCTCTGAGGGCAGGAACAGTCACACTCCCACATTGAGCCTCAAGGGTTCCTGGAATCTTAATTCATTCTTTCTCAGATTTTAGCCTCCATGGATACCAGCTAAATGAACCCTATTTAAATATATATATATATATTTTTTTAATTAATAAGTCTGATGATCCAGTACACACTGTAAAAATCAACTGTCCTTTATTTTATTCCGTCTCACTCCCAATTCTTTTCAACTCTTTCTGGTAGTTCTGATTATTTATTTGGTTTTTATATGTATTTTCTAATTGTCAGACTTATATTGCTAATTTTTTTTTCAGCTTTAGGTTTTACCTCTTGACTACTACAAAGGAACATGAAGATTTAGCTCTTATATTGCCTTCCACATTTTCCTGTGCCGCTTTTGTTTATATCATCAATCTGCATTTACAATAGTTCAACTGTGAAACAAATTATCCAAGCTGAATCAGGAGTGTGCTATGATTATAATTTGTTTGCTAGATGTTCTGCTTTTCCTGGGGTAAGTGTGGCTTGGGTTTTTATTTACTTAATTGTCTATGCATCTGTCACTAATTCATTCCCCATAATCTTTCCTTGAAGTGAAAAACAATCTAAAGATTTGGTCTCCCATCCCAGGTGAGAATACTTTCAAAAAGGCTTACAGACTTCTATAACAAATACGTAGTTTCTTCAATAAATTAACAGCTTGAAAAAACCAGGGGGAAGGGAAAATGTTATAAAAGACTTGAGTCTTTGCAGTCAAATGCCATGTGCGAGGTCCTCGTTGGGATCCTCATCCAGACAAAGCAAAGACACAAAGGTGTTGGAAGATAATTGGGTAATTTGAACATTGATTGGGCCTTAGCATGGACTAAACAATAAATCTGTTTGGACTCAGTGAATAATGGTATTATGGGTTATGTTTGACCATTTCTTCATCTGTTAGAGCTACTTACTAAAATGTTTTTGTGTGAGATGGTATCGTGTCTAACATTTACCATTGAAACACTCCAGGAAAAAAAATGCGTTTGGAAGATACATGAAAGGTTGACAAAATATTGATTATTATTCATTATCAGTGAAGGGAGATGGGTATGTCCTTATACTATCCTCTCCACTCTTGTGTCTGGTTGAAATTTTTCATAGTAAAAAGTTTAAAACAAAAAAGAAATTCACAAAGAAATGGAAGAAAGGAAAAGATTGCACAGGGCTGCCTGTACAATTGGTGAACTGGTTGTAGAAATAAAACCTCTTACATATTGAGTACTAGCCCGTTTTGTGTCTAGTATGCATTTTGGGTTTAGTACACGGATATAGAACTCGGGTTTCTGAAGCCCGCTGACCTTCCCAGGCTCCTCCAGAGCCCGGGAGATGGGGATGGTGGGACCAAGGTGAGTACAGGGTCAGGAGGGCTGCCAGCGCTGACGTTGAAGCGCGGGAGAGGCCTAGGGACAAGCTGGCAGGCCCCTGACACCCCTCTGCCCCCAGCATTCTCAGATGTTGCCTCCATGCTGTCCTCATACATCCTGGATAGTCTCCAAGAGCCCCTCGTATCCATGACCTTGAGAGATCTTGATGTCAACAGCCAAGGGCTTACCCTCACCTAATAGGATGTAATTCACCTATTTAAGGTGTTCTATTCAGTGGTTTTTATTATAGTCACAAGGTTGTGTAACTATCACAAGTACAAAACATTTTATCATTACCTTTTATTACTGAAGTACAGTTGATTTACAATGTGGAATTAGTTTCAGGTGTGAAGCACAGTGATTCAGTTATATACAGGACTGCAGGTTTGGTTGATGGCTATTTGGATTGTTTCCACTTTGTGGCAGTTATGAATAATGCTACTGTGTTTGTGTACAAGTTTTTGTGTAGACATATATGTACTCCTTTCTCTTGGGCTGTGTCTAGGAGTGGAACTGCTGGGTCATATGGAAACTTTGAGCTTTAGAGGAACTGCCAGACTGTTTTCCACAGTGGCTGCAGATCTGGGCTGGGAAAGGAATGGATGGGGTAGAAGTGGAGAATAACAGGTTGGTGAGTGGGGAGACAGGCCCAGAGAGGGGAAGTGCCTTACACACAGCCACACTGAGGCAGAGCAAGAAAAGGGGGGCTAATCATCGTGACGGCCTCAACTCCACCCCAGCAGCAGATCCCTTCCTACAAGTCCCTCCCAAAGGTTCCTGAAGTAACATCAGGACCAAGTACTTGTCTGAGGGGTGACTTAGAAGCTCTCTGCCATCTGGCCTTGCCTCTGCCTCATTGCATCATGTCTTTTTGTGTATTTTTTTATTTGGCTGCATTGGGTCCTACCTGCAGCACACAGGATTTTTAGTTGAGGTGTGTACTGTGGCATGTGGGATCTAGTTCCCTGACCAAGGATCGAAACTGGCTCCCCCTGCATTGGGAGCATAGAGTCTTAGCCACTGGACCACCAGGAAATTCCCAGGGGTGCTTTTCACTGTGGTTACGAAGCTGGTGTCTCTGTGAGAAGACAAACTGCCTGAGAATAGAAAAAAGCAGACTTGAGAAAGCAACCAAGTCTGGATGATATCATTTGAGGCCCTGGCTCCAGTTACACTGAAGTAACTGACCACTGGGCATTTTAGTTATTGAACCAATTTACATTAAGGAAAAGAAAGAAAACTGCTTAAGCCAGACTGAGTTCTGTCAGCTGCCACTGCACTATTCCTCACAGGGTAATCCCCCATGTCTCCTGCATATACCCCTGCCCATCGGGCTCCTCAGACCATACAGGGCAACCACGCTGGCTCTTGCCTCTAAGCACAGGTTCACCTGCTGTCCTCCAATCTAAGTCATCACTATTTTTCTGAGTTGTGTTTTGCCACTGTCGATCTTTAATCTTCCATGCAAGGTGCCTTTCATACCACCATTATCAATAAGTGGACATTTCACGTTGCTCTAAATGGTTTCGGGTGTTAAGTCCAGGGTGATGGTAAAGGTGGACTGCTCACCTAGCAGTCTGATCCAAATTAAACCCCAAGAAGCAGACGTAATAAGCAGTGCTCCCTGAACTTGTGTGCTGGTTCTGAGAAGAGCCTGCCAAGGCAAACTTGGCTTTTCCCTTTGACTTGCTGTAGAGCTGGGGCCAAGGACATACACATTTACCGCCATGATGGGTGAGAACAGTCTCACACATTTTACCCACCCAACTTCACTACAGGGAAAAGGACAGACTGGGTCAAGAGGCAGACCGAGGACACGCTCTAGGAAAGGGGGTCCTCCCCTCAGTCCCCGCACTGTCTCCATTCCTGCCTGATTCAGACCTTTCTGTATATTCCATACCACTCCCCACTTCGTCAGGAAGCAGTGGATTGTAGACATTTTCATCTGCGGGCTTTGGCTGGTTCCCTTCCCTTTGCTTGGGATGCCTTTCTACACTGCAGAACTCTTTCAAGACCCAGAGCAAAGGTTAGCTCCCCTGGGAATCTTTGCTCCTTTAATATTTTAACAACTGTTTTAAATATTAGCATCTCCTAACCTTGGGTCAGCGTGTCACTATGGAAAGGCTTTAAAGGGTCTATCAGTGCTCCTGGGGTTACCCTAGAGGTCTATGCTTCCATCAGATTCTCAAAGAGATACTGTGACCCAACGAATGATTAAGAACCACCGATTTTTCATGTGTCTCTCTTATGAGTTCCTGAGGACAAGAGTCCCATTTTTTCCATTTTAGACTCTCCAGCACTGGTCCACAATACATACTCATAACTGTTGGCAGAATGCTGTGAGTGACCCAGAGGTAATGTTTGTACAGGCAAAGACAAAAAGACAGGATGATTTAATTTGTAGAGATGAGTTGTTTGTTCCTGATTACAACGTTCAACGTGCAGATTACATTCACCTCTTGGTACAGAGAAGGCCCTCTGCTACCTCCCTGGGACAGTTAAATCCAGACAGAATTATTCCTGGGCAACCCTTACCTCTGTGTCTGCCAGCAATCACCCTCTCTCCCTTCTTACAACCACATGTAAGCTCTCTCTCATCCAGAATAACTCAGACATGGGGTCTTTCATTCAGTGGAGTAGCCATGTATAGTACAGCTCTACTGATTTAACAGTGGATTTAATATATTATGAATTCCAGATGAAGACTTCACATTACTTAACTGCTGAAGTCTTTGAGGATCCCAAAGGCATTTGAGGATCTGGCAGTGTCTCAGGGTCACCAATTTTTACTTGATAGTATTAAGACAGAGAAGTATTAAGACAGAGAGAAGGTTTGCTAAGTCTGTCCTGGCCCTGGGTATTTACTCTGGAAAAGAGCTTGAGTCAGGTTTTGACACATTTGCTTTTCATGTCAGTTGCAGGCACAAAATGAACAGCACAGAAAGTTTCATTTTGTTTATCCATTGGTCCTAAATTTTCAACAATGAAAATGTATTATTTGTGAAAGGGAAGTTATACAAATACTAACAAAAAATTTAAGGTGAAATGCAGGGTGTTTGGATTCCAAGAGGAGTTTACTGAGGTTTAAGTGTCAGAATGACTGCACGTAATAATTAGGTTTAATTGACAATGCTTTTTCCATAGACTGAAATTTTGCCATTTTTTAATATTATCATTAGCTTGAGTGTCCCCCCTTTCTCTTACTTTTATTACTAGAGTCACCAGAAGGAACATTTAAAATATTTAAAAAATAGCTGTTTCTGGGCAAGTCACCCAGCATACACTCATGTTTCCTCTGGGTTCAAACATGAAGGGGATCCCACCTCAGACAAGGAACAATCCTTGCTGCACCCCCGCCAGCTCATGCACCCCCCTTTTCATTCCAAAAGGCTCCAGCTCAAACGAAAGTTATAAGGTTAAGCGGTACTCCAAGTTCCAGACACAGCTAGCCCCTGCTTGGTCTTCAAAAAATAGAGGTCTGTAATTCCTTTTTGAACATGCCTTCGAAATGGAGGTCTTTGGCCATGAGCTCCTCTTCGACGTCATCCAGTGCCCATTGGTGATCCGTCAGTTCCAGAGCTTCCCACTCTGTCTGCAAAGGAAGAGAAACATGGGGGCAGGGAGACAAGGGCTGTTACAGGAGCAGTGCTGGTGTGCTCAGGCCTGGAGCGGGATCACGCTCTGCACATGTGACACTCACTCAATCCTATGAGGGAGGTGCTGCTGTCCCCTCACCCATCCCGCCCCTAAGCTACAGACAGGAGACTAGGCTAAGAAAGAAACAATCTGCTCAGGTCCCTGGAGCTGGCAACTAATTACATTTCTCAAGTATTCTATTAATGCTGACTACTTCTGCCTTTAATTAGTAGGTCTTTAAGAATGCTCTACGAAACTTAATGTGCGATATAAATGTTAGCTCACAGGTATGGGTTTTTAAAAACAACTTACACAACCCATTCCTTCAATGTGTGCACTTCAGTGGCTTTTCATATATTCACACAGAGGTGCAACCACCACTGCTATGTAGTTCCAGAACACTTCTGTCACGGCAGACTCACTCTATATCAAACAGCAGACACTCCCATTATCCCCGCCCCCAGCCCCTGGCAACTGCTACTTCATTTTCTGAGTCTTGTCATCTTTTCTGGATGCAGTATGTGGCCTTTTGTCACTGGTTTCTTTCACTTAACATTTCTAAAAAATTTTCTTTTGTTGAAGTATACTTGATCTACAGTGTTGTCTTGGTTTCTGCCATACTGCAAAGTGATTCAGTTATACATATACATTTAGTTTTTTTCATCCTTTTCCATTATGATTTATTACAGGATATTGGTTATAGTTCCCTTCTCCTAGCATGTTTTTAAGGTGCCTCTCTGTTGTGGCATGATTCAGCCATCATTCTTTTTTATGGCTAATATTCCACTGCATACATTCCATTGTCTAGACATTGCATTATCTGTTCATCAGACGATGGACATTTGGATTGTTCCTAGTTTTGACTATTATCAGTAGTATTCTGAACATTCTTGTACTCAGTTCTTGTGTGAAAATATGTTTTCAGTTCTCTTGGGTGTTTAGCTGAGAGCAGAACTGCTGGGTCATATGGTAAGTGTGTTTAATTTTTTGAGGAAAGACTAAGAACTGTGTTCCAAAGCAGCTGCATAATCACCAGCACGTATCACGGTTCCAATGTGTCCACATCCTTGTCAACACTCGTTACTGTCCATCTTTTTTATTATAACCATACGAGTGAGTGTGAAGTGGTATCTCACTGAAGTTTTGTTTTTTTTTTTTCCTCACTGAAGTTCTGATTTGCAAAAATCCCCAATGACTAATGATGTTGGGCATCTTTTCATGTGCTTAGCTTATTGGGTATTTGTTCGTCTTCTTTGGGGAAATGAGCATTCATATCCTTTGCCAACTTTTTACTGGATCATCTTTTTATTGTTGAGTTGAAGAGTTCTTTATTCTGAATCCTGGACCCTTACCAGGTGTATGATTTGCAGACACTTTCTCTGATTCTATGGGCTGGCTTTTCACTTTGTTAACAGTGTCTTCTGAAGCACAAAAGTTTTCATTTTGACAAAGTTCCACTTATCTATTTTTCCTTTTGTTGCTTACACTTTTGATGTCATATCTAAGAAATCATTGCCTAATCTAAGGTCACAAACATTTACACCTATGTTTTTTTTTAACGAGCTTTCTAGTTTTAGCTCTTATATTTAGGTCTCTGACCCATTTAAAAACTTTTATTCACAATGTTTTTTATTGTGGTAAATATTAATATACATATGAAACAAAATTTGCCATTTTTAACCACTGTTAAGTATACAATATAGTGGCATTTTTTTAGGTTCACAATCTTGTGCAACCATCACCACTATTTCTAAATTTTTCATCCCCTGAAACAGAAACTCTGTATGCAATAAACAGCAAAACTATTCTTTCCCTCACTGAATTATTTTGGCACCTTTCTCAAAAATCATTTGACCTACATGTATGAGTTTGTTTCTGAACTCTCAATTCTTTAAAAATAAAAACAAAACTTTTTTTATTTATTGGCTGCACTGCACAGCATATAGGATCTTAGTTCCCTGGTCAGGGATCGACCCTGGGCCTCCTCCACTGGAAGCACACAGAGTCTTAACCACTGGACCGTAAGGGAAGTCCCTACTGAATGGAATATCAGTTCTATTCCACTGATCTGCAAGTCTGTACATCCGGCACTCCCACACAGTCTTGATTACTATAGCTCAGAAGTAGGTTTTCAGATCAGGAAGTCTTGAGTCTTCCAACTCTGTTCTTATTCAACACTGTTTCACCTATTCTGAAGCCCTTTCACTTCCGTATTATCTTCTGGATCAGACTGCCAATTTGCACAAGAAAAGCTGGTGGGATTTTGAGTCTGCAGATCAACAGATCAAGGAGTACTGCCATCTCGATAACAGTAAGTCAAGATAATATGTACATGGATATATTTGCATTTGTTTAGGGTTTCTTTAGTTTCTTTCAGCAATATTTTTCAGTTTTCATGGTACAAGTCTTGCTGTTTTGTTAAATTTATTCTTATCCTTTTTGATACTATTGTAAATGGAATGATTTTCTTAATTTCTATTTTTCATATTCTTTATTACCAGTGTGTAGAACTATGACTGATTTCTGAAAATCTTGCTGAATGTATTACATGTAATAGCTTTTTGGTGGATTCCTATTAGGATATTCTATGTAAAAGACCACATTACTTGCAAACAAAGACAGTTTTACTTCTAAAGCTTTTTAAAAAAAATTTTGGCTGCACTGTGTCTTCACTGCGATCCATGGGCCTCTCTAGTTGCAGCATGTGGGCTTAGCTGCCCTGTGGTATGTGGGATCCTAGTTCCCTTACCAGGGATTGAACCCAAGTCCCCTGCATTGGAAGGCAGATTCTTAACCACTGGACCACCAGGGAAGTTCCTACTTCTTCCTTTCTAATCTAGATGCTTTTTATTTCTTTTTCTCGCCTAACTGCCCTGGCTAGAACATCTAGAATAATGTTGAATAGAAGTGGTCATAGTGGACATCTTTTGTCTTGTTCCTACCCTTAGGGGCAAAGCTTCCAGTATAGTATGTTAACTGTGGGTCTTTCATAGGTATCTTTCATCAAGCAAATTCCTCTCTATTTCTAGTTTTCATCATGAAAAATTAGTGAGATTTTGCTGTATAAAATTATATTGGATTTTATAAACTCAAGAATCATTTATGAAAGGCTCCAATAATTTAGACTTTTGGGAGCAAGCCACATGGCCTGTGGGATCTTTGTTCCTCCACCAGGGATTGAACCTGGGCCCTCGGCAGTTAAAGAATGTGGAGTTCTAACCACTAGACTGCCAAAGTATTCCCAATTAGATTTTACTGAATGAAATTTATATCAGGGTCCAAAAAAGTTCAAAATATTCCAAATGTCTACCTGGCATCTCTGATTGGGCTGCTTTTACAACTTCATTTACACTGTGGATTAAATTGGGTGAGCACTTAAAAACCACCGGAAGTACCAAGAATCTCTAACTTACTCATCAGATGATTCTGTCTCTGGGATATGAGACGTGTAAATGCAAACACATTTTCGCTAAACTTAAAATGATGGAACCATATATATACCACACTCACTTCAGGGAATTCACCTTTAAAAGTAACTCTGATAACACCTTTGAGCTTCAGCGAAGCTGGGAAGAGAAGTGAGTGTACCTTAAAAGCTTTGTTGGTGTCTGCGGGCATGGCCATGGCTGCTCCAGTCATCTGCTCCTGCATCATCCGAGATTGGTCAGCAGCTGCAGCGTAAGACACAAGCCAGTGAGTGCCAGGGCACAGCCCGCACCCAGGACCCTCAGGGAAGCGTGGTCCTCACACAGCACTTACAGATGCTTGGCAGTGGGTTAGAGAACCACGGACAGCTCACCGACTGGCCTTGTCACCCACTTTGTGAAAGTCACTTTACCTCTTGCAAAAAATGACGTGATAACAGCAGGAGAAGGAAGATTAACTAAAGGAAGCTCTAAACTTTATTTCAAATTTAAATAACATGAGCAATAGCTATGAGTTACTGAGCAACACCAATATGCCAGGTACTTCACTAAGTGCTCCATGTATCTACCTTATCTACTCACAGCAAACCCAGAAGTCAGTTATTAAGGTCCCTACTTTACAGGTAAGCAAACAGAGGACTGACATGGTTAAGTAACTTACCCAGGGTCCCAGCTATTTAAGTAAGAGAGCCAGGACTGGTACTGGTCTCTAGTCAGTGGGCGAACTGATCAAACCAGCCTTCTCTCAGCTTCAGGCTTACATTTACAGGCTTACATTGCTGGTGCTGGATCCCTTATTGGAGGGTATCAGACTCTGCATAACTAAATACTGTCCCCGTGATTAATGAGGAGAATTCAGATCTTCAGTCTGACCTTGGGATGTTTAAGACTCTTTCAGAATACCTCAGAAACTTAGGAATAAGTTTAGGGAATGAAGCACCATATTTCACTCTGTTCAATACAACACAGCCTATCTAAACACTCTGGCCCTGGTATGAATGACTCAGCTATTGAAGTAATTGCCTCTTACCATTATCTTGGCCCAAAATCAGAGAGTAGATGCTCCGAAGCCCAAAGACGTTGAGGAAATACCAGGATGCAGAACTCACCCTAGGAAGCAAAAGTGAAACAATGTAGGTAGTTATTTCAGAATAAACTAGTTCATACATTTCTACCACCCAAAGTTGTTCAGAGTATATAAGGAATCACCTGGGGTCAGCCAGTAGTCATCCAGAGCACAACCAAAGAAGAAACACAGGTTGTGAAGGCCATGTTACAAATATTAATAGTTATAGCTCTCTGCAGGCAAACAGCTGAGCCTTGTGGACAGACCTGGGTCAAATCTCGATTCTTCCACTCACTTCAGAGTTGCCATGAGGGTAAAACGAGGTAATATATGGAGGCTAACGGCTCCTTCTTTGGCATGCAGTAGCAGGAACTGAACTCACAACTGGTGGGCTTCATTTTATCAGGGAACACGAGTCTTGTTTAATTATCCTGCCTACATAGTGAGTTTTCAAACCATTTATTATTTGTAATCATGACAACAACACACACTTGTTATTGATGTATATAATAAATGCAAATAATACTGAAGTTCGTAAGATATAAATTGAAAGAGGCTTCCTGTCCTGAATCTCATTCTCTAAGGAAACCACAAGTGTCAGTAGGCTTCATGTTGAAGACTGTGGTGGCTAGAAAAGCCATTCCAAGTTTTGAACTATATCCCAAAGCTCTCCTTAGGTTAGGTTTCCCACCTTGCCCCAATGAAGTTAATATGTTTGCATATAATAAAACACTAAAATGAGTGTTAGAAATGATACAGAGGGAAAGGACCCACACTTTATTCCAATGCTTGGGCCACACTCATCTGTACATGATCTTTCAGATTGTTAAGCTAGTTCATATGTGGTTCCAGGCTCCTTTGTCCACACGAGCATGTCAGAAACATACTTGTCCAGGTGCTGACAAAAGATGAAACAGCTTTTCTCCAGCCCATGAAGTTTGTGTTTAGCCCACAGGAGACTGGAAGGTCAAAGTTTAACAGTTGTGCCACTCGTAGTAAGTATACCTTTTCTCCTCTCGGGGAAGTGTGCACGCCCAAGACTCTCCCAGCGCCGGGTCTATTGTGTCCCTCCCAACCAACCACAGACTGCTCCAACTGCAGAGTGAGTCAAGATGGGCAATGGTGACCCCCATTGCCCATTCTCCTCCTCCTGCTGTCTGGCTATTTTATTTTATTCCAGCCTACTCAATTTTATTTTGGCCACGCTGGGTCTCTGTTGTGGTGGGCAGGCTTCCCGAGTTATGGTGTGCCGGCTGAGCTGCCCTGCTGCACGTGGGATCCTAGTTCCCTGACAAGGGACTGAACCTGTGACCCCTGCGTTGGAAGGTGGGCCCTTAACCACTGGACCACTAAGGAAGTCCCTGTCTGGTTGCCATTGGACGCGAGTCTCTGGGAAGCCACAGCCAAAATCATCTTGGAGAGACCACATGAATAAGTACTACTGTGCTCCAGGGGCTGCAGCACTGTCCTGAGAGCTCTTCCTATTCGGGGTTTTATTACTCTGATGTAAAAAACACAACGGTAAATAAGACACAAGTGCTGGACTGGGACAGACTTGTGGTCAAATCTCCATGGCTCCACTTGATAAGGTTGCTACGAGAATAAAATAATATATGGACTGTATCTAGCACAATGACTGGTACCAGTGAAAAGGATTAATGTTGTTATTGGAAGTAATGTATTTTGAAAAATAATACCAACATCCACTTCCATAAGCTCCAGGGCATTTATTGTTAAAAAGTCTGCTTTGGCCAGAATGCCTGCCTTTAATTTTTTTGGGGGTGGACACATCTACTTTTTTGAGCTCCTAAGACCCAAGAAGCTAGGGGAAAGAGCTTGATACATTCTCTCCTTTTGCAAGAAAACTCATGTAAAAGTTACCATAATCTGTGGCATTCTGAGTGGAGTTTCAATGAGAAAAACTCCAAAACCCTATTCCAGTGAAGCAGGCAAACTGGAAATCCTGTTGTTTAAAGAGATCCCTGTTTTAGATTTTGGTTGGTGTTTTTACTCAATAGAAGAAAGTCCATACCAGGAGGCATCTAATGTAAGTAGTTCAATTCCTTGCTGTAGCATAGGCTTAAAACGGAGGGTCAGTGGAAACGGGACCTTGGCTGCAGAAAAGAAAGAAAAAGTTCAGAATCATGCCTCTGTAGAACAGTTTAATAAATGTGATGCACATATCTCCCTGAGGAGATGGGAACTCTGTACCATACAGTGTTTAGAAACTTATTTCTAAACTTATTTAGAAACTTATTTCCACAAAGAGACTTATGTCACTTTCTGAAGAATTAACACTCAAAAGTCACTCGATTCTAGTTCTTTGAACAACACCAGATTGTCTAGTGCTTAAGAAGTAGGGGCTTAAACTAAGCTGTGCCCCAAAATTTGGAAAAGAAGCCAGCACAAGTCTGTCAAACCCGAAGTGGAATATATACGCACAAAGAAAGACATTCCTGAGACACCAAGTTCATTTAAATCAAAGCGGCTCACAAACACATCGACAAGCAACTGACTCAACACCTCAAAAATGAAGTCAAGACAGAAACAGGCTTCCCTTCCTCCTACTCACTAGGGCACAAAACTAATTTTGGATACAAAGTAGTCAGCCACTTGTTCAAGTCCCTTAGTAAAAAAGCATCTGTGTCATGAATGTATGAACACTTTGGGATAACAGCCGGGAAATCAGAGCATGATCAATTTTTTTTGTTCAAGAGCTGTTATCAAAAAGAAAGAACTGTTATCAACTTCCACTCGAGAACATAGGACCTGGGACAGTAATATGTCAGCAGTACCTGGGTTTCTGAGTAGGGTCATGGGAAAGGATCAAAGATGAAGTAAACCTGAAGTCTTCTGAGTCTGTAACTTACTTGTGACAAAGCCTGAAAACGTCATGTTGATCCATCCACCAATAAGAATCATAGGCAGGACATTGGTGACATTGCCTTTCATCATGTCTGTGAGCATGGTGGGATCTAAGACAGAAAAACAAGCAACCAATAGCTGTTACCACTGTTGGTAGGGATTTATTCCTTGTTTTTTGTAACTTAAATTTACTTGATAAAATTAATACAAGTAATACAAGTTCATTGTAAAAAATTCACATGACATAGAAACACAGGATGTGGACAGTTCCTCTGCCTACTGTCTAAACACTTTTAACTGTTGTATATTCTTCTATCTTTATATGTCAATATAAATGTACATATATACCTATCATGTATATATATGCACACACACAATAGTTTCTTTCTGTATATATATACATGAAGGGATACTATGCTTACTATTCTGCTTCTTAATTTTAAAAATTAACATATTGTGAATATTGTTTCCATATTGGTGTAATATGGCTCATTATTTCTAACGTCTGCATAGGCATCCACTGTGGTCACACTCATCACTTCTGGTTAGACCAAAAGATTGTTTATTGGCAAAAAAAAAAAAAAATGTTGCCAACAACTTCCTTGTACATAAATCTGCAAATTTGTGTAAGTGTTTCTGTGAGAGAAACTCTTAGAAGAATTTTTGGACCAAGGGATCTGACCATTTAAAACTGACTTTCAGCAACAGTAAGAGGACTTCACTTTCCATGACCTTGACAGTAGCAGCTTCGGTCAAGCTTTTCTTTAAAAAAAAAAAATCATTATTCTTGTTTATCAAGCTGAGTATGTAGTAGATATATTTCAATAAATGCTTTCATAACTTCACATCATCAATTAAGGAGAAAGGACATGTTTTGACAAAGAAATTGCTAATACTCTACATTAACTAGTATGCTTTAAAATTCTACTGTCCTACTCATCTCCCTGCACAAAGTGATGGCATTAATATTACTAAAGATAAATTTTTGGTTCACTAGATGAAAAAGGCATTTGAATTTAAGAGAAGTACTCTTCAGGGTCAATCTAACATTCCCATAGAAGGCCCTCAAATTCCAGTTTAAGAAATAACTTGTGTGTAGTCGGTCGCTAAGTCATGTCTGACTCTTTGCGACCCCATGGACTGTAGCCCACCAGGCTCCTCTGTCCATGGGATTCTCTAGGCAAGAATACTGGAGTGGGTTGTGGTCAAGCTTTTCAATCGTTTCTAATTTAATGGGTTAAAAAGGATACCGTGTTTTAATTTGCATTCCACTGATTTTAGTGATGTCAAGTATCTTTCCATATACTTATTGGTCTTTTGTTTCTTATAGATTTGCTAAAAGACTTATTATTGAAATCAATTCCAGTACCTTCTGTCTGGGTTTATGATACTGGTTATCTAACCTAAAGAAATAGGTACTGAAATAAATGGATAAGTAAAACCAAATAATATGTTATTTTTGTTTTACTTTAAAGATGATGTATTTTTCACATGACTGTGATCAGAGGAAGTAAGAAATCTGTTAGAGGAAAAACTGTAGGGGGAGAGCAAGCAATCATGTCTGACAGGGAAATGAATCACCGAGGAAAGCATTTAGGCAGAATCTGGGAGTCATCTGCCAGCAACAGGATTGCACTGGGTGGGACCTGGGACTGCAATGCTTTCCAGCCATGCCCCTCAGAACCCTGGGTCTTGAGGAACAGCAAAGGGGAGAGACCTGGGGACAATGGCCCTACTCCCTGTCCCCTTAGCCGAGAGCTCTTGCTTTTAATTCCACTTTATACATTGGAGTTCTCAAGGTAAAAGATTTATTTGAAAGAGAATCCCCCGTTTGTAGATCCCTGTATCAGATGATCCCTAAGTTCCCTCAGATTACTGTCTTATACCATTTAAATTTCAAATAAAAGGACATCCTCCCTGGTCATCCCCCCATCATGTTAAAAAACTTCCTTAAAGATGAGAGAGGGGAATAAACATACCAGTCATAGGAGAAGGCGGCACAACCTTCCTTTTAGTTTTTTTGAAAAATCCATCCTCTGGGTTGTTGAAGTAATATTTTCGTGTCAGGAAAGACTAGTAGAAAAAAGAACTTTTTAAGTCTTAAAACTGTGACATAGAACATTGTCAAATTATTCCCCCAAGGTTTAGTCAGAAGGCCCGTGTAATATGCTATTACATTCAGAACTGGCAGCCTACTTGGCAGCCGACCTGACACTTTAGCTGAGTCACATTTGAAAACAATTTCCCAAGAAGAGCAAGGTCACAATGACAGCAAACACCACTAGGCCACAGCTTAATTACTGACTTGCCTGCCTTCGGCTTTCCCCAAGAGTCCCCTTATAAAACATTCAGATATCTACTGTCCTTAACAGTGAATCGTGGAGCTTGTAATAAAAGATAAATGAGTACCTGTTTGGGAATGTACTTTCCATTTTCCCTGAGGACTCTGCTTCGAATTAGGACTTGACTGAAGGGGAAAAAAACACAAACCAAACCAAGACAATGAGATTTTTAAAAGTGAAACTCTAGAAGAAAATGAGAGAATAAAGTAGAAAACCTATTTAAACACAAGAGAAGGCCTATTTGGCAATAGCTCTGTGTGGAAACTTTTCAAAATACAAGTGCCTTTAACACCACCAGGACATACTTAACCCAACACTCAGTTTTCCACAAGAAGTTTTCAGGAGTGACTCTTTCTGAACAAAGATATCTGAGGAAGGCACATTTGGGACATTATGCTTTTTCTTACTTTATAATGAGCTAAGAAGGAACTTTTCTCTGAGTAAAAAGAGTAGCAGTTGGATGCTTCTCAAAAGACCTGGGGGCAGAAGGGAAGAAGGGTGAGGATAAAAGAAGGAAGTTAAAAAAAAACACAAAACCAGAGAAATGATTACAGGGCTTGACAGGGTTGTTACCTGAAAGACAACAAATACAAATTCTACTCAGGGTGCGGATGTTGGTAAGCTCTCAGTAAACACTTACTGAATTAATAAATGAAATTATCTGGTGATATTTGAACATAGTTGATCTTTACAGATAACAAAGTGTACCAAGTGGGCGGTGTCAGAACAAACACCAAACAGAAGAGATCAAAATGCTAATTTTTCTAGGTTTTCAAAAGTTGTTTTAATGAGGGGAGGAAAAAACCTCCTTAATGGAAATCCTCCTTGAAAAGCAAAACAAAACAGAACACTGTAGACACAAGCCTAAAGAGTTGAGAGGTGAGATGTTCCATTCCCCAGGAGCTGGAACTAAAGCTATTCAAAATCTGGCCTGTGTCGCAATGCTGGTCTGTGATGAGGTGAGAACAGACACCGAGACTAAAGGTTTAGAAACTTCTATAGTATGTGACATTGTCCAAACATCCAAATATGTGATCAAAAATTTTTACCAAAGCACCAGCCGGTGACAGACTGAAAATTAAAAAACCAAAACTGGTCCTTTACCATGGACAGTTTAAGTAGCACTGGGTCTAGAATAATGAGGAGAAATTTAAGCTCTGGAGTTGGGACAGATGGGTTCATATATTGGCTCTGCCACTTGTTATCTATGTGATCCTGGGTGAGTCCCTTAAATTCCTACATCTCCATTCATATTATACACAGTAACAGGCTTATTCTCATTGAACAAATACTTTTCGAGCTTCTGGGTGCCATGGTAGGTGACATGAACAACAGCGATCAAAAAGCAAGTATCTTGGACTTCCCTGGAGGTCTGGTGGTTAAGAATCTGCTCTTCTACTGCAGAAGGCATGGGCTGGATCCCTAGTCAGGGATCCTACATGCTGCGGCCAAAAAAAGAGGCAAGTATCTCAAGAAGGTTAAAGCCTAGTCGGGGAGAAAAACAGTAATCAAATAACCACAGGAATAAATATCAAATCCATTTGTTACATACCAGGAAAGAGAGCCGGATAATCTGAGTGTGTTACCAGGGGGATGTGACTGAGTCTAAGGAGTCAAGTTCTTGGAGAAAGCTTTCCTGAGGGGCAGGATTAAGCTGAAATCTCAAAGACAAGACGAGACAACCTTGGTAAAGAGCTGGAGCATGGGCAAAACCCTGAGGCAGGAGCAAGCACTGCTGTTTCTGGACCAGGGAAAACGCCATACGGCTGGAAGAAAGAGGACTGCAGAAACACGGTGAGACAAGGCTTGAGAGGCTGGCAAGAGCTAGACTACGTGTGAGTCTCAGTGCTATTTTTAAAAAACTGGTGTGAAAAACATCAACACAAAATTTACCATCTTAACCACATTTAAGCACACAGTTCAGTAGTGTTAAGCATATTCACACTGTTGTGAAACAGATCTCCGGAACTTTTTCATCCTGCAAACCTGAAACTATTCTCATTGCACAATAACGTCCCCATTCCCCATCTCCCAGCCCCTAGTAACCGCCATTCTACTCTGTGTTCCTGTGAATTTGACTATTTTAGATACTTCATATAAGTGGAATCATACGGATATTACCTTTTTGTATCTAGTCTCTTTTGTTTAGCCTCATGTTCTTAAGGTTCATCTGTATTGTGACCATGTGACATGATTCCTTTCTTTTTTAAGGGTTCCACTGTATTTTAATCTTTATCTTAAAAGCAAAAGGAGGGAGGAAAGGAAACCCCTGTTGGTGGGACTGTAAATTGGTACAACCTTTATGAAAACCAATATGGAGGTTCTTAAAAAAAATAAAAATAGAATCACATTATATATATATATATATGATGTGATTCTATTTTTATTTTTATATTTTTTTATATTTTATATTTTATTTTTATATTATTTATATATATATTATATATATATATATATATATATATATATATATATGCAACCCTGTGTTCATTGCAGTATTAGTCACAATAGCCCAGATACAGAAACAACCCCAAGGACTTCCCTGGTTGTCCAGTGGTTAAGAATCTACCTGTCAATGCAGGGGACATGGGTTCAATCCCTGGTCCAGGAAGATTCCACATGTCATGGGGAACTAAGCCTGTTCTCCACAACTACTGAAACCCATAAGCTTTAGAGCCTAAGTGCGGCAACTCCTGAGGCCCAAATGCCCTGGAGCCTGGGCCCTGCAACAAGAGAAGCCACAGCAAGGAGAAGCCCATACACCACAACTGGACAGCAGCCCTCACTCTCTGCACACAGAGGAAGTCTGCACACAGCAAAGAAAACCCAGCACAACCCCAAATAAGTAATAATTTTTAAAAAATCCTGAAAGGATACAGACAAAATGATATATGTGTAGACACACACACCAGAATATTAATTCAGCCATGAAAAAGAAGGAAATCCATTCACTTGCAACGACATGGACAAACACCATGCATACATTATACAAAATGAAATGAGCCAGCCCCCAAAGGACAAATACTGTATGATTCCACTTATATGAAGTACCTAGAGATAAAGTAGAATGGTGGGTCTCAGGAGTTGGGAGAGAAGGAAATGAGTTACTATTTAATAGGCTCAGAGTTTCTGTCAGGGGTCAGGAAAATATTGTGGAAGTGTATAGTGGCGGCAGTTGCACAACAAGGTGAATGTACTTAATGGCACTGAATTATATACTTAAAAACAGTTAAAGTGGGGCTCCCCTGGTGTCTCAGTGGTCAAGAACCTGCCTGCCAATGCAGGTGACATGGGTTCAGTCTGGTTAGGGACGACCCCACACGCTGCAGAGCAACTAAGCCTGTGTGCCGCAGCTACCGGGCCCACACACTTAGAGCCAGTCTTCTGCAACGAGAGGCCGCCCCAACGAGAGGCCTGCAGACCGCAAGCAGAGGGTAGCTCCTGTTCACTGCAACTAGGGAAAAGCCTGTGCAGTAATGAAGACCCAGCACAGCCAAAATAAATAAATTTAAAAAAAAGAAAGTGGAAAATTTTATATGCATTTTACCACAGTTTTTTAAAGAGCAAAAAGCAAATATTAAAGGATTTTAAGCTCAATTTTTCACATATGTCACTTAAGGTGATTACCACTGTAGTTAGCATACCCTGAGCACTAAAATAATAGTATTTCCTATTTTCTCTTTGCATGTTTTATCACTTACACTAAAACTCCCTGAGAGTATGGTCTTGTCATATTTTGTACCCCCTAGCATACAGCACCGGAGAAGGCAATGGCACTCCACTCTAGTACTCTTGCCTGGAAAATCCCATGGACGGAGGATCCTGGTAGGCTGCGGTCCATGGGGTCACTAAGAGTTGGACACAACTGAGCGACTTCCCTTTCACTTTTTACTTTCATGCACTGGAGAGGGAAATGGCAACCCACCCCAGTGTATTTGCCTGGAGAATCCCAGGGACGGTGGAGCCTGGTGGGCTGCTGTCTATGGGGTCGCACAGAGTCGGACATGACTGAAGCGACTTAGCAGCAGCAGCATACAGCACAGTGCAGGGCACATGGTAAGTCGTCAAGAAAACCTTCTTCACTATAGAGAATTCAGGACTTCCACAGGCTGAACAGAAATTCAGATATCTCTATTTATATTGCTGAGCAATTTTGCAGAAGTGGGGTTGAGAATCATGTGAGGCATTTAAACCCTGAAATAAGGCCAATTCAAATTATCCTATATATTTTAAATACTCAGTTTCTCTTAAGGTCTGCAAATTCTACAAGAATTTTTGAATTTTGCATTTTTATTTCCATTAGTATCTAAAAATAAGTCCCTGCTCGGCTAAGCAGAACAAGACAACAACTGGTGATAAAGGTAAAGCTTATCTTCTGCAGTCATAATTTGCAAGTGAAAAACATTTTCTTAAAATAAACCTCTAGTTTTCAAAGTCAGTATTTTTCAAACTGGAGTTTCACATTCTTAAAGATTTGTTTTTCCTTTCCGAAATGTCACTATATTCTACAAGCTTGAGTCACTTTTTACATACATTCTATTCCCAAATATGGTCTAATGTTTTTTCATTTATATATTTCTCAATTTTGGTTTAACACATTTTAGAAAAATTTTAGTAACTTCTGAGGCAGCATAAACCTTTTATGAAAACAAATGTCCCATTTGTGATCATTCAAGCTCATGGAAACTTATACCGTATCTAGAGGAAAGTTTTACAGACATCATCTAAAATTTAGTCCCCACTCCTGCTCCATGAGGCATGTCCAGTTATCATCCCCACTTCGCAGATGAACAAGTGAAACACAGGGGTAACTCAGCCAAGGAAACTCAGCTAGTGGGGGCCTGATGAAGCCGGGCAAACTGACATAACCCCTCTACTTTCTTGCCCAAGGTCACGAGAGTGAGACTGCTGGAGAGGGGAGGGCGCTGACCTGTCGGAGACTTGCTCCTGGGTGAGCTTCTTGTCGCTCTGCAGCAGGATGGACACGTAGTGGCGGATCATGCCCACGAAGAAGGTGATGATGACGATGGGCAGCACTACCCAGAGGCGGATGTTGGAGTCAAGCAAGAGCTCCGGCCCCGCCATCTTCACGGAGAGTGGGCTCCCGGCCGAGTGTAACCGGGTTTCCTTCCGTCTGGGAACCGGGTTCTAGTTGAGGCCGCCTCTGGGCCTTCTCACGCCCCTCAACCAGGCGAGCCCCGGATCCTACGGCGGTGGCGTCCCTTGAATCCTGCCCCCAGCCGGGCCGCCGGGCCGCCCACTTCCGGCGCGGATGTTTACGTCACGGCGAGGGCGCGCTGCAGTGGCGTCAGTGTGGCGTCGTACCGGGCGGGAAAGTCGAAGAGGAGGGCCGGCGACACCTTCTCTGTGGGTGAGTGGGGACAGCGGTCGTCGTCTCTTGAGGCTTCGCGATCTTACGGCCTGGTTTCTCGGTCCCAACAGAGTCTAGCCTTTCCCTCTGAGCCTCCGTGCCCTCAACCTCAGCTTCTTCAGCTGTCTAGTCGCGGGATAATACCTCCACGTACCTTCCTGAGTCGTTAAAAAGACGAAGCGAGGAGAGACTTGACCCCCATCCCCGCCCCCCGCCCCTCCCCGGAGAACCTAGTCCAGGCAGCCCTCCTGGTTTCCCCGGGTTTGAGGCTGCTGGACGGGTTAGCACGTGTTAAGGGCATGTTCCCTGAAGTCCTGAGGCCATGACTTGCCTTAGTTTTTCCTTCTGTAGAATGGTTGGTAATGCTTATAAATAGTAAACGAGGCAAAGGATAAAGAAAATGCTTAGCATGACTCTTGGTAAGTAGTAAATGGTAAATTTTGTTGGAACTATATATTGGGTGGTAGTTAAGAGACAGACAGGTCCTGGAGCCGGATTGCTAAATTGGAATCCCAGCTCTGCCACTGGTCATGGAATTTTCCAGGCAGAAATACTGAAGTAGGTTGCCATTTCCTACTGCAGGGGATCTTCCCGACCGAGGGATTGAACTCAGGTGTCTTGAGAGTAATGGTACCCACCTCAAAAAGTTTTGTGCGAAATAAACGAAGTATTAGATATAAAAGACTTAATAGTTTTTGTTAGATATTAGTATTTACCTTTCTGCCAGCCATTCTCATTTAGCAAATATTCTGAGAATTTTTTTTTTAATGCTAGGTACCATGCTGGGCCCTAGGGATACCCGAGATAAACAACACTGGATTCCTGCTCTCAAGGAACCCCTCAGTCTAGTGTGTCCTAAGGTTTCTTACATATACTCTGGAGCAGAAAAGCTGGAGGAGTAATCTCCTTTGGGGATAAGAGTCCAGTTTTCAAGGAAGAGGACATTTGATTGAGACTTTAAGGAGAAGGAGTAATTTGCAGGCAGAGAACAGCATTTCAGTTGCAGCAGGAATCATTTTTCGTTCACAAATGTAACCCCAATGCCTAGCCCAGGCCCCAACATTGGAGTTTTGGATTAATGAGTTACAGGAGTAGTAGATTGGGGCTAAATGGTGAAGGATCTTCAATGTCAGAGAACTGTGGGTTTTATTCTTCAGCAAGAGAAAAGTGATCTGGCTAAAGAAGCAACTAGGTAAACAAGTCGTGAATATAAGCAAGTATTGACCAGAAAGAGGAGTTGAATTTTCTCAAGATCTGGCTTTAGATAGCATTTTGTAAAGTCTTTGGTTTTGGATAGAGCATTAATTGTTGTCTTCGAGCTAATATTTTTTTTTTCAGTAATCTTTTTTTATTTTTTTTTTTATTAGTTGCAGGCTAATTACTTTACAATATTGTAGTGGTTTCTGTCATACATTGACAAGAATCAGCCATGGTTTTACATGTATTCCCCATCCCGATCCCCCCTCCCCAAGCTAATATTTTTAACTTCTCAGAATTTATCTAGCTTCTACAGACTAACTTATGTTCTCTGATTTGTTCTGCAAAGTAACTTACCTGAAGAAGACTTTGGTCAGAATGATTTCCAAAAGAAGACTGTCAGTGTCAGAGGATAAAGTGAGCCTGACAGCAGATACCTCTGGTAAGTGTCTAATCATTTGTTGCTTTATTTTTGTAGCAAATGTGTGAGGCACTAAAAGGGATATAAAGTTCCTCCTTTGAAGTGTTGGCGTCATCAAGGCTTAACAGGCAGGACACACAGAATCCAGTGTCAGGAGATTTGGAATTTCTACCTCTAATTGCATGTATGACTTTGGGCATGCCCAGGAAGATCCCCTGGAGAAGGAAATGGCAACCCACTCCAATACTCTTGCCTGGAGAATCCCATGGATGGAGGAGCCTGGTGGGCTATACAGTCCATGGGGTCGCAAAGAGTTGGACACGACCTAGCGACTTCACTTTTCACTTAAAGTCTGTGAGTTTCAGTCTCCACATGAGAGGAATCTGTATACATAAGAACTTACCTATCGTACATCCTTTAGGTGCTGGGACACAAAGATAACTACATAGTCTGTGCTTAGTGGCTCAGTCGTGTCTGACTTTTTGCAACCCCATGGGCTGCAACCCACCAGGCTCCTCTGTCCTTGGGGATTCTCCAAGCAAGAATACTGGAATGAGTTGTCATGCCCTCCTTCAGGGGATCTTCCCAACTCAGGGACTGAACCTAGGTCTCCCGCATTGCGGGCGGATTCTTTACCACCTGAGCCACCAGGGAAGCCCCAAACATCCTGTTGTTGTCGTGTTAGTCACTTAGTCGTGTCCAACTCTTCGGGACCCTCACGGACTGTAGCCCACCAGGCTCCTCTGTCCATGGAGTTCTCCAGGCAAGAATATTGCAGTGGGTAGCCATTCCCTTCTCTGGGTATCTTCCTGACCCAGGGATTGAACCTGGGTCTCCTGTGTTGCAGGCAGCTTCTTTACCATCTGAGCCCCAAGGGAAGCCCCTAACCCTTTAAAAACTATGGTCATCTTTCCTCCCTTAAAAAAATTAATGATCTCAATAAATACTGTGATGGTGATATATAAAGGAATAGCATCATATCAAAGCAAACACACCAGAGGGAAAGAAAAAGGACAGATTCTGTCTATAATGCGAACGCAATTGACAGAAGCCCTAAGTATTTCTATGAGAAGTAGTTGATTGTCTTTTGTGTATTATACTCATCCACTCTATTAAGGCAATTCTAACATTGCTTCATTAAGGGAGGAGAGTAGATAATCATACTGAACCTCAGGTACTGTTTTATTTATGTTTGCTTATTTTTTTAAAATTACTTCTCATGGGTTGAAAGCTTTGGGATGAAATCAGTCTGGACTTTGTACTCAAAGATATGAGGTAGTAGAATCTGCCATATTCTTTCTACCTCTGAGTCCTGATCATTGGTTCTCAAGCTTCGGTGCAAGTAAGGATTATTACCTGCAGAATATAAATTATTAAAAATTTAGATTCCCAGGCTCCAGCCTTGAAATTTTGATTCTGTACATCTGGATGTGACCTAAGAATATTGGAAGAAATTGGAAGAATATTGCTTTAATTAAGCTTCTCAGTGATTCTAATGCAGTGGTTTATAGAATACATGAGGGACCCTGACTGCTTTAGAATTTGGGTGGAAAACATTTCTTTGGTTATTCTTGTTAGAGGTGGCATATTTTGAATTCTTCAAAAGAAAACTGGATAGGTGAAAATAATTCTGTTTGTTAATTGTTTTGTTTGTCTGCAAGCCGTTATTGTTGACCTTTGTTAGAGAGAAAATTTCATTGCAGCATCAGTTCCAGTATAGTCTCTCAGGAACCCATCAACTATTCTAGGGTTATTGTTCTAGGGTTTACATTTAAAGCTTTGTTCTATTCTTTGTTGTATTCTTGAAATTTTTTTCTGTTTTCAGAAGCCAGGAAGCAGCCACTTTCCAAAAAGACAAAGAAATCTCATGTTCATAATGAAGTTGAAGAAAATGACAGTGTCTTTGTAAAGTTTCTTAAGACATCAGGAATTACTCTTAAAACAGGAGAGAGTCAGAACCAACTAGGTAATATTTTAATGAAAATCTTTTCTCTGGGTATAGTGAAAGGGCTCAGAACTGAATAATGGATTTTCTAGAGAGGCAGTGAAGATTAGAAATGGGAGCACCATCTGTCTTGAGACAAGGATGAAACTGAAATTACATTTTAGTTAATGCATGTTAAGTAAAGTATGTCTAGTTCTTTTTTTTTTTAAAGAAAGAATGTTACATATAGTATTACTTTTTTTTCTTGTGACAAAATAAATACCTGGAGAGTATTTATCTGGGTCAGAATAATTGCAGAGGAAAATTTCTAAATAAAGCCATATAAGGCCCTACTTTGGGAGCATAGATTATTCCATTCAGCTAAGGGTATGGCATCTTTTTTTTTAATACTTAGTGGCTATCCTTTACTAATGCTAATTCTGTTTTGCTGTGGGTTTATTAGGTTGAGAATACCCTTATTGGTTTCATCAGACAGGAACGTAGGTGTTAGGAAAGGGAGACTATAGTCAGAAGTGTTCAAGACATTGGGGACCAACTAGTGTTCTTTTCTCATAGCTGTGGATCAAATCGTTTTCCAAAAGAAACTCTTTCAGACTCTGAGGAAACATCCTTCTTATCCCACAGTATGTATTTTCTCCCTAGTACTTTTTTTTTTTGTCAGCAGTAGTCTTCAATTGGGAGTTTAAAGTCACTGGCATAAAGTTGAATGTGCTAGAATCATTTTTGCTAACCCACAGCAAATGTTAAACTAAAATTTTTACTCTTGTTTTTTTTAATGTTACCAAGATAATAGACGAGTTCGTTAGTGGCCTGGAGTCTTACATTGAGGACCAGGACAGTTTCAGGAACTGCCTTTTGTCTTGTGAACGTCTGCAGGATGAGGAAACCAGGTGTGGAGATGAGTCATTGAGTCTTGGTGAAATTTTACAGTAGTTGGATTGGGGGGTGTGGGGAGGTTAGACAGAATGCAATTTTTTTTTTTTTTAATTTTGCTTTTGATTTATAGCTCTCTTTTTTTCTCAGAGTTTTAGCCTAACCTTTAAATTATTAAATTCAGGATACTGAGACTAAGAATCCAGAATGTTTTCTAGAATGTATGTCACCTCTGTTGGTAATAATTTCAACTCTTTATTTCTCTGTGACTTAAGAGC